GGAGGCTGAGGCAGGAGAATTGCCTGAACCCGGGAGGCAGAGGTTGCTCTGAGCCGAGATCGCGCCATTGCACTCCAGCCTGGGTAACAAGAGCGACTCAAAAAAAAACAAAAAAAAAAAAAAAAAAAAAATTTAATTTCACCAAAATTCAGTATGAAATTGGGAAATTAAATCAACCAAGTAAATAGGTATGATGAGTTCACATAAGGGCCTGACTTCGATTCAGGTCACATCATCCACTTGTCATCTCTTTTATACCTTATATAAACCTGCCGTATTTTTAATCAAAGGTGTGGCCCACATAAACAGGCTTTCTGATTCTGTGGTTTACTAGTGAGTAAACTTACAGTTGCCCTCCTCCAGGTCTAAATAGTAAATCAATTACAAGTCCAAATTCAAACAAACTCACCTTGATAAGACTTACCTGAAAGATATTTGAAATGGCATCCAGGATAACTAGAATAATCTTGGTATCTTTTGCAGTTAAGAGGTTCATCAACGGTTCTATTACGCCACAATGAACAAGGTACACAATCTGTTCAACTGTTCCACCACTGGTATAGTTGGTCACAGCCCATACAGCTTCCTTTTGTGTCTTAAAATCTGCCTATTACACATAACAAAATGGTTTTGTTTCAGAACAGTTGCACAAATAAGATTCCTAGAGTACTTTTTCACAAAAACAATGACTGAAAAGTACTAAGTGAAACCTTAAGTGAAAGAGGTTACTGGGTATTTTTCAGCAGAGGACTCCAAGTAGATTCCAGGATTCCTTCATGTTAAAAATCTTATCAAGCAGAGCTCTCTATAATAAACACTAAAAAAAAAAATGCCTTGATTAAACCCTAAGACTTCGTTACCTTAGAAAGAACACTGACAAGGAATGGGACTAATCCATGATTCACAACTTGCTGTATCTGGTCCTGACGGCCAGCTGTGATGTTTGACATTGTCCATGTAGCTTCCTTCTGAATGTTAGTTTTGGGGTTGGTGAGCAGGCTGGGAAAGACGGCAAGCGCTCCTGCATCGATCACAACTTGAGTCTGTTCATCTGTACCAGTGACAATATTCCCTATGGCTCGTAGTGCAGGAGTCTGAAAAGAAAAACATGTTGATGCTGGTTACCGTATTTTTTTTTTCCCCAGCACTTTAGAATTCTATAGCCTAACAGTTTTGACAAGAGGCCCATCATGGCCTGAAATAGTTAATATTTCAATATTAGTATCAACTGATTATGCTTTTTTTTGAGACGGACTCACCTAGGCTGGAGTGCAATGGTGTGATCTTGGCTCACTGCAACCTCCACCTCCCAGGTTCAAGCAATTCTCCTGCCTCAGCCTCCCAAGTAACTGGGATTACAGGCATATGCTGCCATGTCCGGCTAATTTTTTTTTTTTTTAGCAGAGACAGGGTTTCGCCATGTTGTTCAGGCTGCTCTCTAACTCCTGACCTCAGGTGATACACCCACCTCGGTCTCCCAAATTGCTGGGATTATACAGGCGTGAGCCACTGCACCCAGCCCTGATCATGCTTCTTATACTTATGTCCTAATCTAAAAGTAAGTAACTTACCACAATTGGCAATTCAGAAGCTCCTAGAAGCTTCACAAGTTGGGGAACAACTCCTGTTTTCACGACCATGTCAATTCGTTCATTTGGACCATCAGTAAGGTAGGAAATAGCCCAGCAGGTATCTGCTAATACTTCTGGATCATCATGATGCAGGAGCCTAACTAAGGTAGGAAGAATCTGCTCAACAGCATCTAACGGAGGTGCAGGATTCTTGTTGCGGCAAAGATTTGAAAGCGTCCAGGTAAGATTACGTAAGTAACCACATGCCAAAGATGACATATCGGGAACTGCAAGAAGAGCCAAGAGTGGGTCAACTGCACCGTACTTAATAACCAAATCTCGGAACACTGAGCCATCACCTGAAAAAAAAGGCAAGATTAATTTCTATTACCTTGTCCAGCACTACCAACGTTCAACGACTGAATGCAGCACCTTCATTCCTAATAAGGGCTTGAAAGCAAGCTCAAAACTTGACAAAGTCACTAATACTTATAACAAGGCCTTTCTTCCAACTCATTACACTTAAACACATTCAATCAAAAGAACTTCAAGTACCTGCAATGTTTCCTAGAGCCCATACAGCTTGTTCACTGATGTGAGCATGGGGAGATGCCAACAGAGAAATGAATGCTGGGATGGCACCTCCATCTACCACAGCCTTGGTTTGTTCTGATGTCCCAGAAGCAATGTTAGTGAGTGCCCAAGCAGATTCAAACTGAATGGGACTACAATCAGTTCTGCCCAAGAAGGACACAAATTTTGGAATCAAACCAGCCTGGATTATGTTGTCTATAGGGGGCTGTTTTTCTCTGGAAAGTAGTTTCCTAAAGGGGAACAAAGAGAGAAATAAAAGTTGAAGGTGATTTTTACACAACCTGAGTCTTTTGTACACAAAAGGAGTTTGTTAAAAACCAATTTAAAATGCAATTCAAGACTTTACAACTTCAGACAACCTTTTATGTAAATCACTAAATGCTGAGATATTCTGGAACCTAAGAGAAGCTGAACAGATTACTTGCGTGGTACTGTACATGTGGTATAATTAACTATCATTTTTCCAAAAGATAATACAGATTACCCTCCTCTGCATCACTGCAGAAATCTACTATACATCTTGTCCCTTTTTTTGGGTGGGGACAGTCTCGCTCTGTCGCCCAGGCTGGAGTGCATTGGTTTGATCTTGGCCCACTGCCATCTCTGCCTCCTGAGTTCAAGTGATTCTTGTGCCTTAGCCTCCTGAGTAGCTGGGACTACAGGGGCCCACCACCATGCCCAGCCAATTTTTGTATTTTTAATAGAGACAGGGGTTTCACCATATTGGCCAGGTCAATCTCAAACTCCTGACCTTGTGATCCACCTGCCTCAGCCTGACAAAGTGCCAGGATTACAGGCGTGAGCCACCACATCTGGCCCGATCTTGTCTCTTTTTTTTAAAAAACTTTTGACAATATGACAGGGTTATACTCTCATTATTAACTGAATCTGTGTCTCCCTAATAGTTGTGGTTAAGCACTTTTTGTTTAAGCACAGGATCTTACTCCACCTGGCTTGAGTGCAATGCCACGATCACAGCTCACTGCAGGCTTGACTTCCTGAGATCCAAGTAATCCTCCCATCTCAGCCTCCTTAGTAGCTGGGACTACAAGTGCACAGCACCACACAAGGGTAATTTTTTTTATTTTTTGTAGAGACAGTCTCATCCTGTTGCCCAGGCTGGTCTCAAACTCGTGGGCTCAAGTAACCCACACCTTGGCCCCTTAAAGTGCTGGGATTACAGGCATGAGCCACCGCACACAGCCTAGAACTTTTTAATGATTATTTACCGGCTGGGCGCGGTGGCTCAAGCCTGTAATCCCAGCACTTTGGGAGGCCGAGGCGGGTGGATCACGAGGTCAAGAGATCGAGACCATCCTGGTCAACATGGTGAAACCCCGTCTCTACTAAAGCTACAAAAAATTAGCTGGGCATGGTGG